CCCCCCCCCCCCCCCCCCCCCCCACACACACACACCCCCCGCACCCCCGGTAACATCACATTTCATCCTCATCATCAGAACACACACACACACACACACACACTGCAGAGGGGCTGGTATCTCTGTCCCCCTTCCCTCACTGAGTCTCTTTCCCTTGGCCCGTCACCATGGCGATGGGAGCCGATTCCATGGATATAGTCACTAGGCAACCAGCAGCATCAGCAGCAGCAGCATCAGCAGCAGCAGCAGCAGCAGCAACAGGAACAGCAGTGTCCTGTCAGAGCTACAGTGGAGCAGCACAGAGAGCGGCCTGCAAGTTTGCTCTTTGAAGAGGAAATGTTAATGCGTTTATCGTGTCTTGCATCTGAAGCCTCTTACATTCCTCTCAACACTAGAGGTGCTGACTGCCATTCAGACACAAGACATGAGAGGACTCCGACGAGCGAGTACAGCTATAGCTAGACTAAAATGGGTACAGTGTAAAAGAATATCCATAAACCTTATAACAACTTCCACCATCATTACTGTCTCACATATGGACTCTGCTTCTCTTTCTTAATCTCACTGTATGCTTTCATCTCACATAAAAGGGAACAACCAAAGACATAACAGCAATTGCATCCTACTTTCATTATTATTGTCTCGATCAATCAATAATCAGTTTGGTCTATAAAATGTCATGAAATACTGAATCACAGTCAGAGTCACCTAAAGCCCAACGTTACCGCTTCAAAACGATTCATCGGACAAACAGTCCAAAACCCCAAAATATATGTTTTATATCCTCCTGGTTGAAAAAAGTACTTTAACAATGAATCAATCATCAAAACAGATGCAGATTACTTTTCTGTTGATTGACTGATCAATCAGTGGACTAGCTACACTGCCAATAACAGCTGGCATCCGAGCAGCTTCCTAAATACCACAAATACTCATGACAAGTGCCGCAGGGTGGAAGTGTCTTCCATTACAAGTAAAAGTCCTGCATTCAAACTCCAACTGAAGTAAAAGGACAGAAGTATATAATCAGCAAATGTGCTTAAAGTATAGAGAAAAAGACGTTGACCAAATGCTGTTATGTACAGGATTTTATATTCATATTTCTTTTAGATAAAAGATGAACTCTTAAAAACCTTATTTTTAATGTTTTTTTTCATTTAAACTAACTTGTTTAAAATATGATTTAAGGCATGAGTGTCTGTATTTTGAATCATTAAAGACCAAAGTGCCATTGCTGCAATAGAATCATGAAAAAGTTTCAAAAATTCTTGAAACAAGTTGATTGGTGTTGAAAGGTTGAAATATATTCCTCCAGCAGAACATAAGGGACTCAATTTCAGACTGAAATAAGACTTGATAAGAGAGATATTTTACCCACAGATAAATGGAGTAGACATTTAAAGTAGCACACAATAAAGTACCTCAAATCTGTACAGAGCTTGAGTAAATGTACCTGGTTGCATTGCCCCTGGAGCACACTTCTAGGTAATTCAATACGTTTTTAAAAAGTTGGTGGAGAGCACAGTCTTAGTATCAATTTAGAGTCTCCAAAAAGTAACTTGCGAGTCTGCCATGTCTATAAGCCATCAGAGGGCATACGGTTACAGACTGTATACATCTTGGAAAATGAGGCAGATTACTCTACGTGTCTGAAAAATTATATGTTGTCCACACAGACTACATCCATGGACTTCTGGGCTCCTTGATGCCAAAGAAAGAGACCAAACACTGAAAACACATCACGGCCTGTTCGTAAAATGATACAAAATACGGCTATTAGCATGTGGCTGTAAACCCCTGCTCATCTTAGTGGCAACACAGACGGAGACGCTTTGAAATAGGTTGCATTGAAGATTGTGATTAAATATTCCCTTTGATTAGAAGAAGCCCTTTTTTTTTTGCTATGTTGCTTTAGTGCCCCGGCTGCAAGTCAGAAAGACGCTCGCTATGTGTGCTGTTTAGCGATAAGGCTGGGCGGAAAAAAATTACAGCACATCACTCCGAAAATTATGATCCAGACAATAAAAGTGTTGAACCTCGTACAGGTGTATAACAGCAGCAATAAAGTATTTAGCCGAATGGTTAACAAGCATTTGTCATTACAAGCGTGACTGATACAGCTAAATAATAGGCAAGATATAGGCTAATAAGCTACAACACCTCAGGCTGCTGGATTTAACAGGTGTGTGTGTGTGTGAGAGAGAGAGAGAGAGAGAGAGAGAGAGAGAGAGAGAGAGAGAGAG